TCTACACAAAAAAATAAAAAAATAACCAATATTAAACGTGAGGCCCAGACTGGGCATTGTTAAATCCTGCACCTGGGACAGCTTTACTGTACATGAAAAATCTCACTCCTTTAAAGTCTGATATCACATAGCTCTGCAGGGTTAGAAATGGGATCTTTATGCCTTTGGAAAAGACAGAGTCCTATCTTCTCCAATGGGACACCCACCCAGCTCTTACTTTCAGCTCTAGAAGACCCAGAGATAATGGACTTTAAAATTGTACCATTATTGTGTACAGAAAATCACAAAAACGTTGTTTTAGTTGTGTTTTTCTAAAGAGATTTTTATGTCTCCCCCTGAGCCGTCTACGGTTTGACTCAGGGTAACTAAAGCACCTGTGTTTTCTACAGATGAAGGGATAAAAATATATTTCCAATAAAATTTGTTTAGAATCCCCTAAAACAATGTATATACACATGATAAAGAATACATGGTGATGTTGTGTGGTTTAACACTTTATCTTCAGTAGCTTGGAATGACCTGGCTTGTTCACAGGGGAAAACAATGAGAAAGTTATCCATGTCATCCAAAATGCCTGTTGATAAAATATTTATACCACACTTCACCAGCATGTATTCTGCATATGCCACATACCATACAGAAAGACTATTTTAGGAATGCTTTTAGGGACCTCTACGTTTTAATATTGGGATTGTTTTATGCTTCTCCCTGTAAAATCAGGTGGTTTGATTACCTTGAGTCCAAATGTCCAGGGCTGAGCGGGAGCCATTACAAAAAAAAAAACCTCTTTAAAAAACATCAAAAGCTATTATACAAAACTCTTGGAATTTTAAAACTATGTGTGTGTTGTGATATCCATACCAACATCAGAGATAATGGACTTTAAAACTGTTATGTGTGTGTGTGTGTATACACACTGTCTATATGCACACTATATACAGCGTATCTATAGTATATATAGTGTACACACATACATAGAGTGTATATATCATACATTATATGTAATATAGAGAGACTTTATAGCTATACACATTAGCACACACACACACATACACACACAGACAGACAATAAAAAAAGTTGTAAGACTTTTTTATTTTCCCCAATAGTAATTCTAAGAGTGTCAAATTCAGAATTTGGATATATTACAGAAAATGGCAGAACACGAATATTGCCTTTACAGAAATGGAAGGAGAAATATGTTTTTTTTCTTTAAGGACTGATGAATTTCTGAAGCTGTCTAGGTCTCTTGAAGAATATACTGTTAGAATTTCATTCTTACATCAATGGATGAAAACCGAGGTGATCTTGCAACCGACGTCTCCTAAATAAAGATAAAATGTTCACTAGCTCATATGGTTTGCCAATTATTCTCAATGACTTGTGTATTTTTTCTCATGGAATGATAGAAAATGGTTTTAAATCATTAGAGGTCACTTAGAGCCAGTCCTGATCGTTTAGTAAAAATAACTGGGCTATTATAGAGCTAAACGGAGCCGGGGTGTCCATCCTAACATGCTTAAACATCATGCCTCCGTTTAAAAAATGCATCCACATTCTTCATATTTCACAGTGACATGCATTCTTTTATCCATTGGGTACACTTTCATTAGACCATAAATGCATGAACAGATGAGAGTGCGTGTTTATTTGTGTGCGTGTGTGAGTGTGTGTGTGTGAGAGAGAGGTCTGTGTATATCTACATGAAAGAACTGCATCCCTTTATATGAGAGTTCCAAAGATAAATTTCGATCACTAAACTATACTATTTATCTGTATAAATGAAAAACAGAAAACTTCAGGGTTTAAATTTCAACAACATTGTTGGAGCAAAATATTATTTAGGTAGAAATGGTTACAAATAACTTAAAAGCGGTAACTGCTGCATGTGGTTTGTTCCTTCTAAACAAAAAAACCATTTGTTCATTTTGTTCTTGAATTGCATGCCACTTTCACATAGTTGTAATTTACAAAACCTTTTTTACTGTCTATGTGGAACGGGGATGTTGTACATTAGTTTCCAAATTCATCTTTTGCTTTTAACTCAAAAACATGCCAATAAAAAATAATGCACACGCGGTGGTGAAAACAGAACAGAATTTCCTAAGGAGTTGTTAACTGTGTTACCCGGGCTATTTTGCAAAACAGTCCATATCCGCTTAATTAGATTAGATCGGAATAATAGGAACTTCCTTTCCCTAGACGCTAACGTAACTACTCCATTGGAGACTCCAAAGCAGAAATGAATAAAAATGTTTAAATACAATCGATCCAGGACCAAATTATGCCTGCTTTACTTTTCAGTTTAGTCCTATCTAAACCAGTCCTTTCAACAAAGGGAGCGAGATTTGGTCCTGGTATATTAGACTAAAAGTATACATTCGGTTAAAGCCTTAAAGAAATATACTATATGTGCATATATAATATATACATAGTATAAACAAAAGTTCTGTATTGCTTTCATACACTTTTGCTTCTGTCCTTGTCTACTTTACCTCTTGTCCAATTTAAATATGTTCATTTCTTCAGAAAGGTGTACTGCAAAAGTGCATGACAAAGATTCATTTTCCCTGTACTCTTAAAATCTTTTGCTTGGTAAGGTACTACTTGAACATGATCTGTTGTTGTAAACGTGTTTTTATCACACTGTAAATTACTGTCACATTGACAGACCAGCCGGAAATGTAAATCATTTCATATACCTAAAGTTATGGAAAAGTTTGTTAAGTTTCTGGATCCGAGGAAGGTCGCCGTGCTGCTGGATGGATGGCTTGGGAAAAAATTGTTTACTATTTTTCCAAGCCTCAAAACGTCGACAAACAGAACTGCTGGCTCCATAGTGCCTGGGACTTTGATGAGAGCGAATGGACAATGTGCAGAGTCCTTTCCTATGACACCCAGGCCAAAGCCACTTGGGAGGTCCTCAGACCTAAGGCAACCACAGCTAACTGCTCCCAACAGGAGGCTCTATGGATCAGGCAGGGTCACAATTATACTTCTGCTAAAGGCAAGAACCTAACAAAAAAAAAAAAAAAAGGGGGAAGCGGTTTGTCGGGGGGTTGACATCAAGCCTTTCAATTCATCAGGAGAAAGAAAGTCTGAAACTGAAAAACTGAAACTGAATTTAGTGGGAACCTTTTACAAGGGGTAGGTGTATGAGTAAAAATACACTCCTTCCATCCAACCACTTTTCAGTGGAAAAGTCCTTAGTATGGAGAACTGGGCTAAGGTGGTTTTTAAAGAAAGATTTTCCACAACCTGTTTGTTAGCTGTTGAGGCTCATGAAATAAAAAATAGCATAATGTTGGAGAAAGAGGCCACAACTCTCCGAGCAACCAGGCAGACACAAAACTAGTTTGTACCAAATCCATTACATATAAGACTGCACCGTTGTGTCTGTGTATATTTTTTCATGCGAACACCACCTCCCCCCGAAATAACAACAACAAACAACAACAAAAACAACCCCTTAACCATGAAATGTTTTTGTGAGAGGTTGGAGAGGAGTTTTTTGAAAATATCAAAGGCTTGGTATCTGATTTTTCTGTGAAGGGGTTATGATTGCTTGGTTTTACTTTTTTATATTTTAAAAAGTGACGGAGCTGAGGTAAGACAAATGTACTGAAATATTGCAGCCTGCATAGATAGCACCATTGAATAACATGTCTTGCCCAGGACCACTTCTGTTTATTTCAAGGATCCAGAAATCAAGAAAGAGCAACAACATTTTGTTTTCTTGAAGTTTCACTTCTTCAATTACAAACCGGTCTACTACACGCACGGTTCAAAACCGGAGTCACTGAGCCCCGTTTAGCAGCAAGACAGAATGGTGTGAAATTCCCGAGCAAATCCGCACTAGTTATTTGCCGAAGCAACATTACAGCGACCAGCCTCCTCCTCATTCACTGCCTGCCAAGAAGCTGGGGATATTTTTAACTCCAGTATTTAGCTCACGTGTTGCTAGCTCAGGGTTTTGTTTTTTGGTTAAATCTCTCCATCAAAATCTAGCGATCTGAATGAACAGAAAACTACCAACTGCGCGAAGAGAAAGAGAGTGTTTACCCACCATTCTGAAGGGGAATTTGCGCTTCCTAACAGGTAATTCAAATAGCATCCTTAAAAGGAAAGCAAAGCAAACAAAACAAAATAAAAAAAGTATAATTCAACGTACTGAGAGGTAAAGCACTGAAATGTGTATTTGCTTTAAGAACTAACTAATGCAGAGTTAAGGGCGTCTTTATTTTCTCATGCCGGGACGGGACTGTGTCGTTGAGCGCTACATAACATTCAATTAAATGTATAATTCTGTGTTTGATCTGCGAATGTTGTGGAAATTACACCCGGTCTGTTACTTACACACGCTGAGTAACACTGAGCCAGCCAACAACGTCACAAAGTACTAATCTGGATTAGTCTCAGCGTGTGTGGCCGGATTCAGTCTGAATGAAGGGAGCAGGGCGCAGCCTGTGTGAAGAGGTGTAAATTCCTGGGAGTTCTGTGGGAGTCAGGGATAGGAACTGCTTCCAAAGGTTGGTTGGCTGCTGGGCCGGCACACACGCGGGCTAGGGGTATTTGCTCGTGGTGGGTGGAGGTCTGTGCTCAGGGTTCCGTCCCCTAGCCACCCCGAAGCGGATTCCCCAGGCTCCCGTGGGACACCGCTGGGATCGCACTGGATTTCTGTTCCCCCTAGGAGGGACCACCTTCCACCTCCACCTCCCCTTTGCTGCTTCCCCAGGAACCGCTGGTTAACCGCAGAGCCCAGGGGAATAATCCCTCGCCTTCTCCGCAGATCCTCAAGGCCAAACCTCCTCGGCCTCCAATCGCTGCAGAAACTCGAGGCGGCTTTAGGCCGGGATGACTGACAATGAAGGGGGCTCCTTCTCCGTGAGGTTTGGCGCATCCCTGGGAAATCACAGGCGCAAGAAAGGGCAGTCCAAGGAAGACAAGCAGGTCCCGCGTATAGAGGGAGCTCAGCCCTTGCCCGGAGAGTCTCTGCACTTACCTGCGGATTCTCTGTCCTTCTTGCCAACCTCCGTTCCCATCAGCAGAGCAGCGGGGCTTGTTGTGGTCACAAGCGGCTGGGGACAGCCTGGCAGGCCCACAGCTGGCACCCAGGGCCGGGACCAGAGAGGGGCTCCCCTAGCAGAGAGCCAGAGAGAAGAAGCGAAAGGAAAACTTTTGTTCAACTTTTCCCGATTCAGCCGAAGTGACCTGCAGTATCTGGAGAAGGTTTTTGAAGACGTTTAGGAGGGAGGGAGAGAGTTTTCTGCTGAGAAACTCAATCTGCCATACAGTAGCGGCTGCATCTGGGATCTGTCACAGCTGACAGCACCACAGGGCACAGACATGATCTTCTGCACAACACTGCAACTCCCCAAAATACCCTCCTCAATCAAAGGGTGTCTGGTGGACCTGCATCACGCTCCTTCGCCAAAAGGGGGAAATATACCTGGACTGATTATCAAAAAAACACCCTTCTGTGGCAATTTAATAATAAAATAAATAAATAATAACAGTAATAATAAGGGATGAAGGGTGATGTCATATCTTGATGATGCAAAGGCCATAAATGTAAGAACTGGCTTTGTGAGATTCCTCAGAATGACTTTAATGAATAATTTCAGAGACAGTTATGGCTTTAGGCAATTACTGCGCGCCTCTATGAAAACCAGATTTTAGAAAAGTATGAAGGACAGTCAAGGCCAGGCCTTTTGCTAGCCTAACATCCACCCGCACAACAACACAAGCGCAGCTACCCCCGGCCCTCCCTTCCAAGTCTCGGTTTCTGTTTTTGAAAAACTCCTTTTCATACACTGCACTGACTGAACCCCCTAAGGGTTTCATTCGGCTACACGGCCACTCGGGTTGCCCTCTTTCTCTGGGCCCACTATTGAATCTTTGCTCAGGTATTGAGTACCCGTAAGGAGACCAGGCCATTTGGCGTATGTTTGTTTCAACGGACTAAGCAAACCTGATGCTGGTTTGCTTTTGAATGATGTTTTTTTTTTTTTTTTTTAAATCTCCTTTTCCTCCCGTATTTTATTATAGTTGTTTCTTTTTCTCTTAGACCCATTGTTAAATTTCTATCAATTTGCGTGTATGTATTGTTTTGTATTCATCATACGCAGCTCTGTTAGCCAGTTGCAACATATGGCATATAGAGACCCCGTATAGGAGACTCAACGGCTCTATAATCGCCACATGTTTCTTCAATATACGTGGACGGAAAGAGAGTCTTCTGCTATGCATTAAAATATAGCTGTCCGTTTTTCAAATACTTTGGGCTGCCACACACCCAGGGAGAATTCTTCTTTACACGCCATTCGTGATTAGCAAATAAACAGGTTCGAAATACAGACCTACTGAGCTCCATTGTTTCACTAATGTACCATTGCTGGCCTCAGAAACGGACTCCTGATTGTATTATTCAAGTATAACAAACCTAAAGGCCAGTTCTCTATTGACTATAAGCGCTTCTGGGATTTCTTTCTTTCCTTCGTTCGTCAGGACAAGCCTATAGGGCCAAATCCTTTTCGCCTCCCCCATGCCTGTCGTCCTTGTTTCTTCGTGGAGCCCCCATTAACTTCGGCGAGACCACATGCAGCGGTAGGGCTTGTAGGATTCGGTCCACGGTCTGAATGCAGACATTCCTGTATCTGATGATGTTTCTGACCCAAATAATGCAGCTTCCCAACGAGAAGGGCCCAGGAAGGCATCCGTTAGACAGTTTTTTGGCTTGCACACTATCCGTGACAGTTACAGAGCTCTCTCCCACAGCTCTGGCATGGGATTTACTCAGGGTTTTGGGCAGGTTTCTTTTTTACTTTTTTTTTTTTGGTACAAGCCCCAATGCTACATGTTTTCTTTATGGAGGTGGTAGGGCGCGGAAAGCAAAGCATACCATTTTCACTGATGCAACAAGGAAACGTTCCTTTTCCTTTTGCGATTGGAGATAGACACGGCAGAGCGTCGTGGTCTTGTGCTGGAACAGCGCTAGAAATGGGCCCCCATAGCCTTTTAGGGGCACAGAGGGCTCTTTCTCTTGGTGATACTATTTTACCCCGAGACTTTAATCCTTCAGACATATACGCCACCATTATCTCTCGCCTTGAGAGACAAGATCAACAGGTTTTTAATCCCTGCTCTCTGTATATGACAATAGTGCCGCTTGAAATGGACAGTTTCACAAGTGTCTGCATTCTTACAAGGCCCGTTAAAGCATTGGGAATGAGCGTCAAATGCCAAAGCTGTATTTTATTAATTTTTTTTTTGCTTTATTCTCCCCGAAACTGTCACCTAAAATGTGTAAAATAATAATGAGGAGGACGATGCAACAGAATAATATAAAAATATCCCCATAACGTGTTCATGCATCTTGCTGAGCCATGCACAAAACTGCAAGCCGTTAATTATTATTAGATTCTCACCGCCCTGAATTAAATATGATTCATTAGAATCTAATAACAGGTGCAAAGTCATCTCTTTTGCCAGCAGCGCTAGCGTTCACTGAGCTAGGAAACTCATTTTGTTGTGCTAAAGGCTCCTGCTCGCCCAGCTGGTTGTAAATCGGACTACATGTTGGATAGCGGTTTTGTGCGTGGGGGGTGGGGAGCCCGAGACACAGATTCCTGGAACGTAAAAGTTGCACTTTGCTTCACTAATTTGTTCCTGCCAATACATAAGGTGGAAAGCTGCCTCGCTGGTATTTACTTTGGAAGACAGCGCTCTGATCGAATGCAAACGGAGAAAGACTCTACCGCTAAACACTAGTGCAGGGCATCTGCAGCGTGGAATGCACTGGGGTGTTTCCCTCTATTTCTGATGTTGGCAAGAAGTAAACAAACAAGCTTGGCTGGAAACCTCAAGAAGCAAAATCCTCTGAGCTAAAAGTAAAGATTTTTTTTTTTAAATCCCGTCCCATTGCATCCGCATTCCAGCTGGCGGACTGGACTTTAGATAGAGTTTGGAAAGCACGGCGATGATTGCACCCAACTCGAGAGCAGGATGGCTCCTAGCCGTCTGATCTGACGTCAACATGTCTCTAGGCTCTTGCTGCAAGATAGAGGGAGCAGAAATGGGGGAGGGCGGGCTGTAATCACTCCCAGATGTCTCTAATAGCAGATATAAAGACGTATCTAGTGCCTAAGAATAAATTTGTAATCAGGGCTCTACAATCTGATCATCAAAGCAACAAAATTTTTGGAGGAAAATGGGGGGAAACATCATACTGCGTTTGGGGGAAGTAGGGGGAAGGGCCACAAAGACTTCCCAGAAAGCAACAGGCCTTTCGAATCCAAATGCTTTGTAGAATTTATGTGAATATATAATTCAGATAACAACTCCGCTTTAATCTCTATTATACTGTGCAAGCTAAAACAGCTGAGCAGTAATTGGCCAATTAGAAATGGAAAAGATTGGAGCTGGTTTTGAAGGGGAACATATTTCATAGCCTGCAAAAAATGATAAACCCTAGTTATTACAGAGTGGATTATAGTTGCAGAAATGTGGGATTCGCTTCCTTTCTATCACTTAATGAAGGATTTTTTCTTGTAGGGTTGAGGGTAGAAGGATTTAAAATATGTTTTCAGGCGCAAAAGATAATATTTTATATCATTAAAATGATGCAGCGTCATCGTGGGGCTCCTGCTTCATGTTTGTTCTCTGAAACAGCAATCTTGGTGCTTTGCACATTTACATCTGGAAGTTTCAGCTGTCGGGTATCCACAACCTTTATAGAAAGGCCCCATTACACCTATCTTTGACGCCATCTTTGAAAATGATAAATTAACCTTACTTATCTACTGGGAGATTGGGCACTGTAAACTGATAGGTGAAAAATCGGTTATTCATATTCTCTCCTCCTTCTTCCCCCAGGAAAACATAGATTTTTGGAAATCTAACAGCGTGGAGTGTTGATAAAACAACCGAAAATGACAGCCAGGACTCCAAAAAGAACGGTATCAACTATCTTCATCATCACCGGATGCATAAAACCTGAAGACTCCCACTACCATTTCTGCTACTTAAAAATCAAGGAGCTTCCTCTTTAATATCCAGACTCAATACTATTACATCAGAATACCCTCAGTGATGTCATGTTTACATACTTTCCAAAGTCATTTGAATAGTAGAAAACATAGGCTTTGCACCCCCCATTGTGCAAATGCTTTGAAAAACATGAAAAATGTTATCTAAGAGTAAGCTTCAAGAACAATTATATCACATACTAGACCTAATCTATCCTGCAGAGAGAGAGGGGGAGAGGATCTATCAATAAATCCAAACTAACGCTACTAATATGTATACCGTTAAAACAGAAAACCGTTTCCATTCCTACATTTGAACTAGCCATGAATTCCCTTGTTTCAATTCCACTGTAATACTTAAGCTTTTAGGACACTTATTCTCAATAAAAATATAAAATGTGCCATGCCCCCATCCATTTGTTATTATCTGAATCACAAGAAAAGTGTTAGGACAAATTCTGCTCCCACTTACACCCACGAAAGGGCCCGATCGACCCTACCGAAGTCAATGAAAGTTTTGCTATTGACTTCAGCGAAATCAGGATCAGGCTTTCTAAATCTGGAGTAACTCCACACACTATGGATTTACATCAGTGTAATTGAGAGCAGAATCTGCTCCATCAAATATTATCTCAAAACTACTTATTAGAGTTTCTAGCTTAAACACGACCTTTTACGTTTAATTTTAAGAATCATTAATGGTATATTTCCATGTTATTTTACATTAAAATTACGTTCTATAAACGCTTAATCACCCAGTAGTCCAAATGAATTCAGTAGGACTACCGGAGAGAGAATAATTACTCACGTGAGTAAGAGTTTGTAGAATCTGGAGGGGAGCAAAGGGAGACAACTTTAAAGTAAGGTATTTTTGTTTTCTCATCAAAAGAAAAAAGGAACGTTGTTTTTGAGGCAGAGGACACAGATAACGTTGTGAATTCATTTCCCAAAACAACCCAGGTAGAGCTATTATTTAAAAATGAGGTATATAAAATATTGTATAAATACTGAAAATGTTCACAGAACTTTTAGTTTGGCAAATTATAATTATAGAGTTTGACTTTACACCTCTGTCCTTATTCTTAACTTTTCCTCTCAGATTACCTGTAGAACAGTATGGAAAGGCCTCGCAAATATTAACTAGCAAGAGTACGCTGATATTTTCCCATTACCATCTGTTCATAAGTGCCTTTATATCAGCGAACAGTCTGTGTCACTGAGTAGTTATCAAGGAGGGCAGACGTGGAATATATGAGGAGGCAAATATGTTTAGTAATGACCTTAGGAACCTAGATACAGTTTCTTTTAAAACTCTTTCCCAGAGAGCTGGCTGTATGGCTGTGGAAAAGCTTCTGGTTCACCATTCAGAATGTTATCAGGCACACAGCTCCTTTAGGAGATGTGGGGCCACGGCACACTGACATCCCAATCTACCATCAATTTACCTTCCACCGCCCTGCTTCCCCATTTAGCTTTTAACGTCAAAACCTACATTTTTGTCGGCTCCGGCCTGTCTAGGGCTCTTGTGATTTAGCTCCAGGAATGATTGCTCCTGAGAAAATGGCAACATCCTCATTACCAAGCAATTAAAATAGATCCCTTTTAGCGGGTCCAAGGGTGCAGCCAGTTTGAGAAATGAAATGCAAAGGGAGAGTTAATTTTCCTTGTATAGGAAAAGCCAAAAAGGCTACTATCTTCACAATGGCATCCTGAATCTGCCAGAGAGGCGCTCGGCTATGATGTAGCCAGATACAGATTGCAGCCCCGCGTGGCGCTGGAAGTAAAAGGAAGCTGTTTTCCTGAACAAGGAAAAGGACAGACCACAAAGAAAAAGCAGTTTTAAAGAGTATTTTCACTAGTGCCTAATGCAGCTAGGGCAAGACTGCCCTAGCTCCGTGTTTCTAAACGACTGGCTTATGCTTAAAGATCACAAATTAAACGCGTGTATTAAACACACAGCCAGTGGTACGAGGATTCAGTTGATCGATAAAAACAACCGGGTATTTGCAGACAAACAGTTACCGGTGAATACCTCTTTAATCTGGAGTTGTAATTAGTAGCATCTCGAAAAGTCCCCCACTTTAATAGCTGCACCATTGGAGCCTTTAACCTACCTTGGTAACATTAGCAACGTCAAACACAAATGGAGCAGGGGGAGATCTTCCACTATCGACTGGGAAGCTAGCAGGGAAGGAAAAGAAAACAAAAGGGAGACTCTTCTCTCGAAGTGTTATAAACAAAGGCAAGTGTCTGTAAACATAACCCTACGCCCAAACACAAACCCAGGCTGCCTGACCCGAAGGGAGAAAGGGCACATCACTTTTGCTTAGTTGTTCTAACCCTTCAACCTTCCTATTGTCAGAAAGACTGGCAAACGGTGTAAGGGCTCTCTTATCTTTTTATGGGCAATTGCAAATCTACCTACTCTTATTGTCAGAGCTGGCCACAAGCCACTTAATTAGGCACTACCATAAAGGAAGGAGAGTAGGTATATATCCCTGTACCTTGTAAGATAGCCAGATTGATTTAGGTTACCTTCGTCCAAGAGTCCTGAGGCCACAAAAATATTAAACTGAGGTTTACAGTACAGATAGAAACCATTTTCCATCATCCCTGAAAGCTTCCTTAGGTAAACCGCTTGTTTAAAAGTTTAACAGTTTACAAGGCTGGATTTCTAGGTGTAAATATAGTAGGAAGTGTCCAGTCCTCGGAACGCTGCAATACGCTCAACATTTGCTTTGGTTGGACTGGCAAGGTGAATAGTCAATTTCGAGGAGCGGTGATGGACAAAGATGGTAGTTTTTAACTGTTCAGATACAAAGGATGGAAGATGGGATTGAGGGAAGCAATTTTACGCATTAAAAGCAAAGGGGCCAAATGGCAGGCAGTTGCTAGCCTGGAGACAGGAGAGGATTAAAAAAAAAAAAAAGTGTTCAATGTGGCAGATTGGAAACGTGCGGCCCAGGAGAATTTTGGGAACCACAAAGTTAATATTAAGTTCACTGCATCTCATTGTAAATCTTGTTTTTCCCTCCCAAATCCCTTGCCTTGTTCACTATTTCTTACTTGACGTAAAATTACCCTTTACATCATCACTTATAGCAAAGCCTCCTTTGCGGACCCTCAGCCCAAGCCCATTGAGGTAGCTGGAATCAAAGTCTTCTCTATATAACCCTATACAACATCTTTCTCGTTCCAGGCTTTGCGTGCAGTCACCTTGGGAAAACAAATAACTAGCTCTGGCTGCAGGAAATAAGCGCCAAGGAAGATTTAATCAATTCACAACACTTCTCTCTCCCTCACGCACACTTTTAAATTACAATTTTAATATCTAAACTCCTAAAATTATATTACAAGTGACTCGTGTTTCAAGAGCTCTTATTAATGTAGGATTTTGTCTTTTTTAGGAAAACATGCATATCAGTAATTACTTCTGATTTGACCAAGGTTTGTACCTATGTCCACTGCCCGTTAGCATTAAATCTCATGCCTGGAAAACACTACCACAAGGAATTTATATTTAGCGTAACTGTATTTTTTCCCCTTTAACACGCGCACTGCTGGTGAGATCTCTCCCCCCCCCCGCCACCTTTCACTCGATGACTTGCTTAAAAATAAACTTAGAGGCAATCTTTATAATTTAGTTTACTTCCGAATATCTTAAATATTATGAAAACTATAACAACGTTGTTATTTAAAAACATTTGAGGTATAAAACATAAAAAGATTTTTTTTGTAAAAAACACACACAGTGGTTTATTGAATACTTACAACGTTTACACCTTCAATATTAATTAAACTCCACTTTTTTCGCCCTTAACGACGGAAGTGCACATAACAAATAGCTGCTGAAAACATTTTCAAATACTGAACGACCACAACAAAATTACCATAGTAAATACCAAGCCAACTGAAACATTGGTGCAACTGTTTCTGTTGAAATATAATTTTATAATCCCATGAATATTTATATCCAAAAGGCCAAGTATTAAAGATACACTTCACATACACACTAATGCCAGGGAGTCTTTTCCTCCCTTTCTTTTCTATTTTTCCCGTGTGTTCTATACAAACAGAGAAGTAACATTCACGAAACTATCGAGACGACATTACCCCTTACCAAGCTGGAGTTTCCTCTTCATATTAAAATATGGAATGCTTTTCTTCGAATATCCACATTTTGGGGGGTGGGGGAGAAATTGCACATAAATAAACTGGATGATTCCAAATACAAAAAGTCCTCAGATCAAATCTCTCTAATGAGTCTAGGAGATTTCCTTGAGTCCTTCAGTCTTGCAGCGCTCACTGCTTGAGCTCCAAAGCCCAGACATGTTGCGGCCAGCCAGTCCTCCCTTTGGTTTTCTTATCGTTGCTGCTAACTGTGCTTTTCAATATTTCATTCTGGGAAGACAGCGTGCAAAAAAAGAGAGAAACAAAGCAGAAGTTTAGAAATTATATTCCTTTACCTCTTAGGTAACCTCCGCCACCCACTCCTTGTCTTCTTCCCCCTCAGAAGAGGGAAATCTAAAGCTGGCGATAGACATCTACAAAGATCTATGCAAGCTCCTGCAGAGGCCTCCAAGCTACAGGACAAACTTTCGGCTAGAAAGCTTGACAAACAAACGCCTGTTTACGTGCTTTTCGTAGAAAGCTGCGGGTACTTTAAAACACCAACACCACCACACCAATTTATATGTTTCATGATTTGCAAAATAGAGACCGTGCTGTTGTTTTGCACTGATCGCGTTCGTGGCAAACCCTCAGTGCAAGAGCGGCTCATTTCCAAACGTAAACAAAGCTTCTTCGGTTTAAAAAGCCACCTACAGCACCAGTCATTCTTCAGGGTTAAGCGGCCCTCCCCGTCAGATCTCAGGAGTGTATATTTTATTTCAAATATAAATTACATTTATATATCATATGATATACAGACACACTTGAGGTTTTAGTGGAACGGTAATTTATAAGAAGACCCGAAATACAAGTAGGTCAATGATAACCATTCTATCTAATGTCAGCATTCCACTAAATAACAGCATTGTGAATATATTATGAGAAGTGAACATCCATTCATATAAGGCCCGATCCTGTCGTGTTTACTGAGGTCCCACTGAAATCAGTGGGAATTTTGCCTGAGAAAACCATCAGGCCTACACCGACAGTTAACATCCACACAAAAAGTTACTTCGCCTTAAATTGAAAGAAGGAAAGAGAACAAAAACCCAACAACAAAAGCATAAATCACAATCAAGAATAATTTACAGTGAAACGGTGGGGCTGTGCATTATTTTGTCAAAACTGTGCTGGAGTTAAATTCAAGTGGTACATGCCTTCCCTGTGAGCAGTTTCTTTTATCTGAACAGATTGCAGGGTGCTTCTGCGCTATGAAAGGTTGCTTGTGTACAGGACAGAATTATTATTAGAAACTGTAATTCAAATAATACTGTGGGGGGAATGGAGCAGAGTAGGTACTGAAGGGATGCTAATGTAAAATAAAGGATACAAAACCACATTTTAAGATTAAGACATTTGTGTGCAGCTGCAAGGAATGGTTTAACTGTTATAATCTGACCCAACACCCGATTTTGCTGCAGGCTATATCAATTCTGAAATATTTCATCACACAGCAGATGCCAGTTTCCCACCCCAAATACATGTACATTTTAACATCACCCCCCCCCCCGTCACTTGGAACAGCGCCTGCACCGAAGTGAATTGAGTCTTCACTTCTCTTTGTCAGCGATAACACATATTATTATGGGTACATCCATTAATACAGATTATAGGTACACGTACATGTACACACCATATATCATACACAGAAACCCCGTAAACATTCATTCATCTCCATTAACCAAGGCACACAGTATACGTTACCTACATCAACTTCCCTACATGCAGCGCTAGTGTATTGGGGCGTGTGTGTGTTGTGTAACACCATGATGTATTTCATTTGGGATACATTCTGTGGGATCTGGAATGGAGCCTGGCTGACCTAGCAGCCTCTCCCCAAGCCAGATGTGCCCAGCACGGCCGGAAGAAAGGACGAGCACAGAGTAATCCCTTGCAAACAACAGCAACAGCCTCCCCCCGTGGATGTACTGACCAGCTCTTTCTTCCTCTTCTCCTCCTTCACGTCTGTCTTCTTGATCTCTGCCTTGAAGGCCTCCGCCTCCCCGTTCTGATCGTCCTTGGCTAGCAGGTCCATGAGGTAGGCGATGTAGCTGGTGGCCAGGCGGAGGGTTTTGATCTTGGACAGCTTGGTGTCGGCGGGCACGTTGGGGATGCACTCCCGCAGCTCGGCGAAGGCGCTGTTGATGCTCTGAGTCCTACGCCTCTCCTTGCGGTTTGCCGTGCCCCGGCGCTTCACCGGCCGCGGCCCCCCGAGCCCGGGCGGCCCGCTGCCCTGCGGCCCCCCGCCGTAGTGGGAGTGGTCGATGCCCGGCGCGCCGCTGGCGTACTCGGGGCTGTAGGACAGGGCCATGCTGTAGTCGGGGGGCGACATCTCCGGGTGGCTGCTGATGAGCCAGCCGTGGAAGTAGGGGTTCTCTTCGTGGCCGCAGCGGCTGGCGGCGGCGGCGGCCGCGGCGGCGGCGAAGGGGTAGCCCTCATGGTGCACCACGGGGTGGTGGGGGAAGCCCCCCACCAAACTCATCCCCGAGCCCAAGCGCACCCCACCCCCGCCCCGGGACCAAGCCTCCCCCCTCCCGGCCCGCTGCCTCAACCCCCGCTTCGCCGCGGCCGCTCGCCCGCCTCTTCTCAGCGCCTCTCCGGCCGCCGGCTCCCCATAGGGCGCTGCAGAGTCCCGCTCAGAGCCAGCGCGCTCCCCTCTCGCCGGGCGGCAGGCGCGGGGCGCCCCCGGCCGCTCATGCGGTGCGTCTCCTCCGCGCGGGGCCTGGCGCTGCGGCGCGCCGACAAAATGGCTCGAGCCCCGCGCCGCCTCCTCCGCGCCGCGGCCCCCGCCTCTGCCTTCACCGCCGCGGGGCTGCGTGACAGGCACCCGCCCTTCCTCCAGCAGCGCCCCCCCGCTGTCGGGCTCCGGCGCTGGCCGTGGGCATGAAAGGCTCTGGTAAGGTTCCGCTCCCCCTTGGCCGGGGGCTGCTCACTGGGAGCCCCGCGCATCCATCCCCCCGGCCTGAGCCGCTCCGCCCCGCTCGGGGGCACGGGCACGGGGCAGCCCGCCGGCCCGCAAGCCGCGCTTCCCCTGCCCCGGCTGCTGGCGATGCAGAGCAGGAAGGCGGCGGCGGCGGCGGCGGCGATTCCCCCAGGCTTGGTGATGCGCCGGGCACTGGCACAATTTCCCAGCACGATCTCCATGTACAGCTACATCTTTCGGGCAGCTCGTGTTAATATCTGTCGTCAGAGGCTTTCTCCGCCAATCCCGCGCGGCAGGGGCGGGGCCTCCGGCGCTGGGCAATAAAACTTTTTGATGTTCGCGTTGCTAATTGCCGAGCTCCTCTTTTAGGATTGGCTGCCCCTAATATAATTAAAAACAAGAGAGGAAAAAAAAAAAACTTTTATCATGGAGGCAGAGGTTATTGCAAGTGTTTAGCAGATGCAGTACGGCAAAATCTTCTTTTTAAATAAACTCATTAAAACAAAATATTGGAGCATTTCAACCCAGGTACGGTATGTCGCCGAGAATTTTGATGGAAAAAAATAGCGGCTCGGTCAGTTCAGTTATTGCTTTACAAAGTGCGTTGTGTGGATCTAGCAGAGGAAAACATAAAAACAGCTTCAGGAGGCACTTGCCGGTTAACCAATGGTGATGTACATACACCAGGAACACTTTAGCGTATTGTTCTAGCAGAACGCTTTCAGGCAGAGAGAAATGCAGTTATTATGGATAGGCAGTGGACATGAGTTGCAAGTACGAAAAGACTGGATCTGACTTTATAGCAATTGACTTCTAAAATAAGCAAACAATGGGGTCAGGGAGATGGTTTTCAAAGAATGAGTTGCTTTTAAATAAGAAGAATAAAAACAAATCAAACGATTCTCTTCCAGCTTGCTGAGTTAATGTACATACCAGGACATGTATTCATCCGAACCAGTTATATGCCTGAAATCAGTTGCATGCTTGTTTAACTAGCCTGATTGGTAAGTAACCAAATATTTTTTACAGCATGTTCAGAGCTTATTTTCTAGTTTTTATTAACAAATATATAAATATCACTCTGCATTCCTCCTTCACCAATAAAAAAAAAAACAAAAACCCAGGCACCTGTGGAAAGCAGGTTTAGTTATCGAAAGGGAATAGTTAAAGGTTTGTTTAACAGTCAGGCCGGGAGGAAATCTATTAGATATTTAGCTATTTTGGTTTTGTTATCTTGAACACATTATAACGGGAAAATGAATCTCAGGTTGTAATTCACAGGGAAATTGGTAACTTGGAGGCGAGACTTGCGCCAAGAAATTGTTGTCATCTTCAAATGCAGCAGAATATTACTAAATAGCTGTGAAATATCAAATACTCACCTTAGGTGTCTTGGCTACTGGATAGACTGCTTCAGTGTATATTAGAATGCAATACTACAATATAGTCAGTGTGGAAAACTGTGTCAACAGGAGCTGGTGGGTCGTAAATTAAGAAAGAGAGATAGAGATGCAGGAGTTTGCAAGGAGACGAGAGGAAACTCAGGTCCAATTGCTGCAAATGCTCAATATGATACCCTGAAGATTAAGATATATTTGGTTAAGCAACAGAAAACATGCACTTTGGGAGAAAACAACAAACAACCCAAATGCTTCTTCCTGTGTATTGTTATTCCGAGGAGTAAAAGCGGAGTTAAACAAGAGCTGTTACATTACAAGAGCGTATTCAAGGGCTGCTTTCTAATTTCCACTATGGCAATAATGCAATATATTTGCAAACAAAGAAACAATAAGAAATGTAAAGAAGAAGCGTGCGGTATTTACGTTTGTTGGCACCATGCTCAGTTTGTTTAGCTTGTTTCTGTTCTACAATAATGAAATCAAGAACTGTCTTCCGAGTTAAAATTTGCATTGGCACAGGCAGGAGAAAAGGCCAATTGAGACAAACAGAGGTGGTGTGAAAACTCACAGAACAGTGAATCCCAGTACATACATATGTTGTCCAATCGAGGAATACAGAGTTTAACCAAATATATACAGAGAACGATAAAAATTAAATGCATAGTTGATATAAATATAAGTATATGCATTGATATGTCTCTGGGTGCAAAACTGTATATGCAGTTCTATTCAAGGGTTCAAAACGTTTTTATATTTAAAGGCAGGATACTGAAAATGGTGGGCTCAAATTTTCAGTATTTGAAGGAAACAGTGTATGTACAATACTGGCACGTGAAAAATGACTGTGTGTTTAAAATGCCAGTGTCGAAATAGATAGATTAAAAATACTGTTTGAATGTTGCAGTGATCCAGTCTCTTGATTTTCTTTAACGTTTTGCTACTTTGGGGTTGATTAAGTATTTTTGGTTTATGAGGAAGATAGCCCTGCAGAGGACGAATGGGTATATTTGTTTCTAAATCTCCCCCTTTCCCCCACCCCCAGTTAAATTGTGTTTAATTGCAATGCCCTAGGAGCTTTTCAATATAATTCTGACTGCGTTGTAATTGTGAAAGTTTCTGGTGAACCGCTACTATTGTCCCGATAACATCTCAAGTGATGAAAGAAACGGAAAACATGAGGCAGAGAAAAAGTAGTAAAAGATACTGATCTGAACCTCAGTCCACAAAGCTAACATCATTATTCCTTAATTATTTCTATATAAAAGCCTCACTAAAGTTAAGCGCGGAACTGGATTTTAAATACAAATTTCCAGTACTTCTTTATATACAAGTTATAAAGTCTGTTTGAGAGCAAATGCAGCATGTGTGTTCTCAAATGTAAGTACTTATACAAACCCACCTATAATAGCTTGATTCGCAATATTCTTTTTCTTTCTGACCAGAGCATATGAAATCTCTGCAGCTAAAATGAATTTTAAAAAAATATTTCTTAGCTCAGTACGTTTCCTCTCATAAACATAAGTGATACACTGTATTATTACTTTTTAAAAGTAATACTTTGTTTTAAAACATCGGATTTCCTGATGTGTCACTGATTTAACTGCTAAAATGTTCGCAAGTCAGGCGGGCATCTTTATCTAAATGATAAACAGACCGATATTTACTAGCGCACTGTAAGTAAGATATCTTGGTGCATACAATGCTGAGTATGGCTTTGACTTTTCACATGTTTTTCGTCTCTTATTGTATTTCAGGAATAATGCAATAAATTAGGCTTCTGCATCCACCGGTTAAGTCTTTTCGAATTGGATGAGCAAGAAGAGCAAGAGACGAGAAAAGTCTCTTAGTAACATAGTGGAACTGAGTACATGGCATTTTGTCATGCACAGCTCAGCGGATGATCTGTGCCAGCAGGAGGAATCCTACGGAGGGCGCAGTTCAGCAGCAGCGTCTTCACCTTCCCTAAGTGCAGTAAGAAGTGCCAAGAAGTGTATCGCTATTTGCTTTACAAGACACTGTGCACCAGAATCTGCAGCCCAAAGAAGCAAAGCATCACAATTGTTTTTCAGTCCCAGTGTTTGTCACTGTAGTTCATCATATGTGCACACACGCTATACCTCCCCCTTTCCTCTCCCAAACAGCCAGAGAGCAGCTCAAACATTTATTTTGCATCTATATTATTTGTCTTTCCCCCCGCCGGAAAAGATTCAAAGTGCACGATAGCGGTTGGAAAAACATTTTTTCAGCGTGGTCGTGTGTGATATTTTTGAAAGCAGTGAGAATTAAATTAAATATTTTAAAAAGAGAAGATAGCTCACGGTTTTGTGAAAAATAGTGGTCTTTTCACATATTTATTTTCTTCTGTTTACCCAAGATAAATAAAAGTAAACAGGCCTTAAGGGTTAGTGAAATTAAACAGGCCAAAGGAATAGAACCTCATGTTTTGTGTTTTAGGAGAATGACATCCAAATAAGTCTTGTCCTTTTCTAAACCCTATTTTATGTTATTTTTAAAATAGAGAGATGAATTTAACAAACCATCAAACACACAAAAGCTCCCAAGGAGAGAGGGAGAAAGTAGATTAAAATATAAAGCAAAGAATCAATGGAATCTACAGCTTTGAAAACTGAAATATAGTATAATACCTGGTAAATTAAAGAATAGCACATACATATGTCTTTCCTGAAGAGCCAGAATTCATCCAGCATCACCCAATTCTCAACATTAGTTTAATAACTTAAAAAAATAATAATCCATGGTGCACATTGGTTGGATATCCCTATTCTGAAAAGCCTTACTGGCACAGGTAATTCTTACTCAAGGAAGTAGTTACCCTTGCTCAATGGGATAATTGTCTTGAGTAACAACAGCTCATGTAAGTAAGGATTTTCAGGATCGGGCCAAAGAAGTGTCTCCAGCATCTTTCATGAATAAGCTTATGAATTTTTCTATTCTGATTTCAGAATGATTTTGCTTAGAAGATAGTAATACACTTTGTTCCTAATTAGGTTCTAAGTAATCAAAACAAAATACACAATTTTAGTGTTTAAGTTCCCCTTTACCTTATCCCTCCAAAATATTATGGAACACAGAATCTTGACTTTTTGAATGAGGATTTAAAATCTGGCCTGTGGCTGGAAATGTTTAGATCAGGTACCTCCAGCTTCTTCGAACTACAGGACCCGGCTGGGAGCAGATGATCAGAAAGATGGACCTTTTTTGTGAGTGGTTAAAAACTGGGGCCTTTACAAGCCAACTCTGGGTTTGACCTCTTCACCTCATTGGAGGAGCCAGGGTTCCCCTTATCCTTGTTTGTGCCCTGAGTACCTTATAGCAAGCACTGTCTCCCTTTGATTAGTTTTAAAAGTTTAGACATATTCAAATTTATAGAGTGCATAATGTCATTGACCTGAGACCAAATATATTAGAAAGAGAGATAATTCTCAAATGTATTTTGAAGTGTCTAAATACCAAGGTGCCCTATGGATGGCAATCTACATACTACTAAACCTCCAGTTAGAAGTCCATAAACTAAACTTAACATAGAAACCCTGCAATAATATGGAGTTTTGAAGGGATGCTGGAGAAATATCATTTGAAGTCAAACCTGTCAATTCCTGTTAATGAAAATAACTCTTGCCACGTTAGTTGAGCTCAGTTACCCTCATGCAGTCACATCATTGATTTCAACGGGTCTGGCAAAGCGCAGAATTTAGCCCCACAAGTCTGCTTTAATTGCTGTGGATGGACGTAGAGGAACCCTGGTGTTCGTTACTGTTATCGGTACTGAAGGGTGCAAATATTTAAGGCATGATAATCTCTGCCATTAAGTGTGTATTTTATACATACGCGAATATAAACCCCCAACAACAAGATAGCGTCCGCTTTGTAAGTTTAAACGATGTGCAGTAAACACACGAGCATACCAATTTTACCCCTGCATGTGTGAGCAATTATTCAAAGATTGCTTCTATTTGGGACCAAGGATACAGAGTTGTATTGATGCCACATAAAAGAATTTTAAAAATCCAGTGATTGCCAGAAGAATAATAAAGCCTTCATAAAATACTCTATTGAACAGACAATATTTCTTAATGCGTTTGTGGTGTTCACATAGTTTCCCCTCCTTTAATATTGTTTGCATTCATTGGGGAACTGTGTTTTAAAGCTGCTTTTAAAATCAGTGCTGATGGGATTGTATGGGCGAAAGGAATTGTTTTGATCAATACATATTTTCCTGAGAACATGAGGTTTACGTGCTCGCGGGAAACAAAGATTTGCTGGCATTACTTTGGTTCTATGACAACAAAAAAGAAGCACTTTTATTGTCAATATTAATGGAGACCCTCAATTTAGATTTGGTTTTAAGCAGTGTTCAGAGATAAAAAGCAACCTTACTTGACCTAAAACTATCCCACTGGAGCTTCGACAATTAACTGTAATTTTGTCCAAACTGCACATATTTGGGCAAATGTTAATGTCGTACTTTCTGTGCCACTCCGTTCATCTACCTGCTGTATCATATTGTGCTATGACTTACCCACTAATTATTCAAATACAAAGACTTGTGGTTGAAAGCCGCTGCCTACAGCAAATGTTGTGTAACACACTTGTTCAGAAGCATCAGTGTGTTTAGCTGCATCCACTACAATTCCTATATATGTACCTAAATGTAATTGATCTAGTTGAGTGACGTCTTTTTGGTAATTTGGATACACCAAGTCTCCAGTTAATGACACATAATCAGCCTTTAGGTCACTTGGTCATTCTCTTATTACAAACCCCTCCTGCTCTCTCTGATCTCCTTTCAAACTAAATTTCACACAAACAAATAAAGTAAGGCAGGGACAAGGGAGAAATATTGGAAAACTCCTGATATAGAAGTATAAACATTTGAGAATAAAATCTAAAAGAGGATAGGAAAGAACATCTTATCAAAAAGAGAGCATTGTGTACAAAACTTGAAAAGAAAAAGTTCTGGCTTATGTTAGAAATGACACAAAATTAAAATAAAAATAATTACAAACAGAAATGTCATAACATAAACACAGAAGGCAGGAGGCTTACTGGAAATGCGCATCAGTAGTATAATTTATTGTTATAGCTTATATAACCGATATGTGATTGGAAAAAAATGTTTCTTTGACTCACTTTGAACAGCAAAAACTTTTTATTTTTTACACTTATTTTATGAAAGCGAAAGAAACTGAAGAAATTAAGAAATAAAGACCAAAATTTAATTTACTTGTCAAAATCTATAGAAAAAAATGAAACGACTTCATTGATATAGCATTGTGTTAATGTGATAATAAAAATCAATATTTTATGTAACTACAGATCTTAACATTGTCTTTCTTTTTTACCAGCAGGAGCTAAAGAACCATTTTACTAGATACTTTAAGACTATCCTTTTGATCTCCGTCCAGGTGAATATTTTCCATCACAAAAACTCTGTATGTATTATATGTATATAATAAACAACGTTACTTCATATATAGATACACATAAGTATAGCTATAGAAACACATATATGCCTTACTTAACATTTTATGTGCCTTATAAACTGTCTGAAGTATATTTAGAAAACGATTTAGATATTACTAAATTAAAGTTAATTAACAGATTATTTAAAAAGAAAACAGTGAAAGTAGCATCATTCAAGTGTTTGCATTTAGACAAGAATTCTGAAACAGGACTGAATTCCACACAGTTATTCAAACATTAGCAGTTGTCAAAATATTATCAATATAAGATTTTTCTAAACATCTCATCTGTATTTATTTAATAGCCATAGGATTCAGACAGGCGATAATTGAGCATGTAAGTAGAGCTTGTGCACCCTTTAGGAAATTTTACACAGGAAGAAAAATTGAGCAACTAATACACTGAAAGGAAACTCACAAGGCCTCAGTTATTACGAATCTTGTTATGTGTTCATTACATTCACAATCTTTTTAGGAATTTCTAGAACACATTTTTATCCACATGTGAAAAGTTCAGCTAAAATATTCATGCTTAGCAGTAAGAAAAGGAGGACTTGTGGCACTTTAGAGACTAACCAATTTATTTGAGCATAAGCCTCGGTGAGTTACAGCTCACTTCATCTGATGCATCCTATGAAGTGAGCTGTAGCTCACGAAAGCTCATGCTCAAATAAATTGGTTAGTCTCTAAGGTGCCACAAGTCCTCCTTTTCTTTTTGGGAATACAGACTAACACGGCTGTTACTCTGAAACCTGTCATTATGCTTAGCAGTGTTATTACCCAATAGAGTAAATCAAATGGCAATGTATTGAGAAATCCTGTACACTATAATTTGATTTTGTATCTCTCTGGGTACACACACATGTATATTTAAACTCGCGAAGTATGGAAAGTGGCTGGTGATACGAGTCCTCCTCCTCAAATATATTGTCAAATATCGCATTTCAGGGGCCAGGGCTTCTCATCACAAACTATCATACACACTTAATTCCACTGAACGCTGTATGAGCATGGAGTGGTCTGCCAGGCATGCACACGCAATAACTAACTTGCCCCTTGGTAACTCAGCGGGCACTCAGGGAGCAGAGCAGAATTTAGACATTGGGGGCTGTGAATAAGCACCGTTATAGTAGCATGCCATTGGGTTAACGTTGTGCTACTGGATTGATAGTTGAGTGGCAGGCTGAGAAATTAAAGGAATTATAGTTTGAATAAAAGCAGCTCAAGTCACTCGAATTACATGGGCAAGGGAATGCACCAAAACGCCATCTCTGGGAGGGGTGATTCCCAGTGTGCAGAATACTTCACGGTCACTGTACCCCTCGTATGGCTCGCCAGAGGACACGAGTCCCCCCGCACACACGCTAAGGACCAAGTCAGGCCCTGCTAGCTCAGGTAGTTCTACCTAGGCGCTTAAGGCTATTTGAATAGTGGAGGGGGCGCATGGGGATGACTTACAGATGCTTTTAACCCCTCGATCAGCCCTCGTGGTCTGACGTGGGCGAGATCGCTGTTTTAAACACTGTCTCTGGGTGACTCTGCGTTCCCTGGGCTCTGAGATGCTGCGCCTTTGATCTGAGGCGCTGATGTTCCCCCTCCATTTATCTTCCGCAGAACCCGGCCTTTTGTCTCCCAGCATCTCAATCAAGCTGCATAGCTGAGCGACGGTGTCAACCTCCCCGCCCCAATTCGCGATCAGATCGGAGAGGGAGAGGCTTCTTTCCTGCGCACAGGGGAGCCCAACCCGCGAAGCAGCTCGCACATTCGCTTCACATTTGAACGCAGTCCCTTTAAAGATCTCGATCGGGGTGGGCTATACGGTACATGCATGTCCTTGCAGCAAAGGACTTTACTTCCTCCACTGCTGAAATCAGTATCTGTATTGCTCTGGTGAAGGAAACCCCCTTCTTTGCAAATGTAACCGTCACCGGGTGAAAACCCCTCCCCCCCACACACTTTCCCCCTTCTTTTGGTCTTGCAAGCGTGTGATAAGCTCCTACAGGTCCGGAAAGGGTTAACTGCTGGTCCTCCACCTCCTTCACTCTCCTGGAGCCCCCTGAATGCCACCGCTTTCCTCTAGAGGTCTCATTAGGGAAACCCTAACTGCTATTTTCAACATTTCCTCAATCAAGCGTCTTTAAATATAGCTCCACAAACAAATTGGCGGCAAAAAGCGTAGATCTTGTCACGAGTGAGACCAATCCAATATTTCACCCTTGTTTGCTTTGTAATTACTGGATGGCTTGTGGCTACCTCCTTGCCCCACTGGGGCAAACTCCCCCCCGCCCGCTCTTTTTCACCCTTTAAAGTGTGGGATGAACCAGCCTGTTGTGCTACTAAACCAGTGATCTCAGAAATAAAACCCCCTTCACAAATGCAGCCTTCGGGCCATTCACCGCAGTTCCTGGCTTGCTAGCTAGGCTTGTGATTTTTCCAAGCCACACTCTCTGCTCCGACAGCATTTTTGTTGCAGGTCACACACTCGCAAGCTGTGCCCTTGCAGGTATTTGTAAGTGGTTAGTCTTTGCTTTACTGGAATGAATCTCTCTGTCTCTCTGTTAAACTGCTACTTTGATTTGTTATATTTTCCACAGCGCTTATTCTTGTTTGACTGTTGTACAAAGCTGCTTTAAATCTGCTGCAGGGAGAATAAAACTTCAAGCTGCTTGAATGGATTCCTATAGACTTGTGGGCTAGCCCTGGCCCACTTTAGTTCCTGCCTAGCAATCCCTCTGCGTAAATCAGGCCTGGAGTAAGGTTGATGTCTGCAGTCAGGAGCAACAATCAACTAGCTAATATCAACAAAAACAGTAGTTAACTCAAATTATGTTCTAAGCCTTGCATTTAACAGAGAAAAGGCAGGCTGCGCACTATTAACAAAGCTGTTATATTTACTTTGCTGTGAACTGAGAGAACTTTTATGATAAAGGCAAATAATAGAACACAAAAGGGAACTATGACCATAAATCTCTTTTTATGGATTCTCTCTCTAGCAGAAAAACACAGTAATTCAACAATTTTATGATTCAGATATTTTGCAGATACATTTGAAGTTATTTATATAGGAAAGTAGGAATATCACACACACACACACCTTTCTTGATTTATAGGGGCCTGATTCGGCTCCTACTGAATTCAGCAACAAAACTCTCATTGACAACCATGGGAGCAGGGTTGATTCCTATCAGTAGATAGCGCACATATGATCACTGTGGGTACACATTCTAAGATTAGTTGCAGTGTTGTTTGTCTCATATAAAGCATCTTTTTAAAATTTACACATTTACATGGAATTATAATTCTGGAATAATTCTATAATCTAATCTAAAATGGACATACTGAATTGTCTCTTCTCTTTTTGCCCCAGAATCACTAATGTTTGAGATTGTTAAGCCACCCAATGCAATAAAAAGATATTAAGTACATAATGTCTTCAGAGAATTTACATGCTCAGAATCAAGTCCTACTATAAAACAACTTTAATATTTCATAAAGCTGTTTCATTTGCTACTAGCATAGAATGTTAGCTTCTATTTCACTAGGGAGATTTTGATTAATTCTGCTTTCTGTGCCTTATTCTGGTTCCTGTTTACTGTCATAATGCAACATCCTGCATTCCTTGAACACCCAGGCCAACAATTTAAGTGAACAGGAGAGCAAGGAATGCAGGGTGGGACCTATAGTTTGTCACCTGGTTTAATACTGCAGACCTGGGAAATGATATTTCCCCTAGAATCCTTTTCTCAACACACTATGTATATAACACCCACAGGCGCACACCCACACCTTCAGTACTATCACTGACCATTGAGTTTTGTAACTGTCAGTTTAGAAAAGCAAAAAAGCAGTATTAGTGTATGGAGTGAGGTGTAATCTTTAAAAGTATGTTTTTTTTTTATCAAAGGACTATTCCCACATATTATTACATGAAAGATGGAACATTATTTCCCAGTGTGTTTATTTGCATAGAATGTGCAAATTACCACACAGCCCTACATTTCTTAACAACACTTTCAAATTGACTCTCTGTGTTAGCTACAGTATATAATGGCTGATCCTAATCACATATAATCACACCTTCACAAATGTATATTTTAGTTTTTGAGTCCAATCCTGCAAACTGTTACTCACAGGTGTTGTTCCTCTTCCTGCAAGTAGTCTCATTAAATAAATCAATGGGATTGCTCATCTGAGCAGCGATTAGTCATCTGAATTAGGGCCTCAGGATTTAGACCCTGACCCTGCAAAAAACTTTTGACTTCAGTTGAACTACTCACAGTGCATAAAGTTAAGCATGTCTGCACCCATTCACTTCAAAGTTACAAAATTAGGTTTTTATTTATAATGCAAAAAGATATGGACTGACAGTTGGAAAGTGGACATGCCCATGTTGTGCCCAAATGTGCGTGACCAAAACTGGGTTGTATATGTGTGAAAATATAGGCACATGTGCATGAAGCATTTTTGTATATGCACGTTTAAAAATATGGATCTATAAGACTACAGTCTACAATAGGCATAACTTATACCTAAAAGGGAGAAAATGATTTTTTCTAAATTCAAGGGTGTGTCTAAATGATGTTTAAAGATTTTTTTCTCTATAATGCTATACTCAATAATGCTGTCAACCACAGCAACTTTCTACTGAAAGCACCACAATTCTTTATTATCCTGCAAATTCAAAGATGGAGTGATATTCCCAAACAGCAAAATGCACAGAGCTATCTTTATATTTTAGATATTGATTTCTATAGGCTGATGGTATTAAAATTAAAAACATGCGCTTTCAGGAATGCAGGTTGTCTGGACATAAATATTCCCCCCCCCCCCCCCCGGAAAAACTCAGCTTCTCATGAAACAAATTTTGACTCAGCCATTAAATTGTTTTAAACAGTAGCAAATAAAACAACGATGCCCTTAATGTTTTAGTTGTTCAAACAACAATTGGATAAACACTTTCAGCTGGGACCACTTTTCTAATACCTTTGTAGGTAATAGGCTTCCCATTATGTGCTGCTGTGTGAATATCAAAGACTGCATGTTGGGCAGGCATTTATCATTTTATCCAAAATGTCATAAAGAAGATAACACAAAAAAACTGAATTGCTGTGTCTACATTAGGCTTTTTTTTCTTAACGTTTCCCACTACTGCCATAGCACTGGTGCAGCTCCACTGGTGGTAACAAACATGGCAACATGAGTGCAAACTGGCTGCCTGCATTTCAATCCCTGTGTCTTCCAACCCTGATCAGAGGTCTGGATTCTATGGTGGTTAAAACACAGGTTGCCATTAGTGGCTTGCCTATAGTAGAGCTCCCACTGCTGTTGTTGCCAAAGGAGCTGCCATTTTTGGTAGCAATGGTGGAAAGTTTTAAGCAATTACAGCAAAAGGCTAGTGTAGACAAGATCAAATATGAACTAAATGTTCTCAGGAGTTTAGACTTCAAATTAGGCTTGGAGGAATAAAAAGTTCTTACAAAAGCCTAATATGAATGGAAATGTTTCAATAGTTAAAAATCAACTGAAAGATTTTTTTAAAAATGTGGTTTTAGATGTTCCTGTGACACAGGCTCTTTGGCAAAGGGTGCCCTGTTCTTTGCAAACAACTCTAATCTCAGACCTGAAAAACTTACAACACGAAACATGTCTTGCAGGATATTTATCCATAAAAAGTACCTTGTAATTTAGCTACAGCAAGCTTGTAACTTGTCAAAATTCATAATAGGGCTGTCGATTAATGGCAGTGAACTCACATGATTAACTAAAAAAATTAATTGTGATTAAAAAAATAATTAATTAATCGCACTGTTAAACAATAGAATACCAATTGAAATTCATTAAATATTTTTGGATGTTTTTCTACATTTTCAAATATATCGATTTCAATTACAACACAAAATACAAAGTGCACAATGCTCATTTTATATTATTTTTGGTTACAAATATTTGCACTGTAAAAATGATAAACAAAAGAAATAGTATTTTTCAATTCACCTCATACAAGTACTGTAGTGAAAGTGCAACTTACAAATGTAGTTTTTTTAAAGTAATTGCACTCAACAACAAAACAATGTAAAACTTTAGCGCCTACAAGTCCACTCAGTCCTACTTCTTGTTCAGCTGTTTGCTAAGAGAAACAAGTTTGTTTACATTTATGGGAGATAATGCTGCCCACTTATTAATTACGTCACCTGAAAGTGAGAAAAGGCGTTCACATGGCAATGTTGTAGCTGGTGTTGCAAGATATTTACGTTCCAGATGTGCTAAAGATTCATATGCCTCTTCATGCTTCGGCCATCATTCCAGAGGATATACATCCATCCTGATGCTGCTCCTTAAACAGATAATGTGTTAATTACATTTGTGACTGAACTCCTTGGGGGAGAATTGTATGTCTCCTGCTCTGTTTTACCCGCATTCTGCCATATATTTCATGTTATAGCAGTCTCAGATGATGACCCAGCACATGTTGTTGCTATTTACACTTTCACTGCAGATTTGACAAAATGCAAAGAAGATACCAATGTGAAATTTGTAAAGAACCTGTCATCAGCATGGATGCATGTCCTCTGGAATGGTGGTTGAAGCATCAAGGGACATATGAATGCAGGTTTTTTTGTACATAATTCTATATTTGTAAGTTCCACTTTCATGATAAAGAGATTGCACTAGAGTACTTGTATTAGGTGAATTGAAAAATACTATTTCTTTTGTTTTTTACAGTGCAAATATTTGTAATAAAAAATAAATATAAAGTGAGCACTCTTTGTATTCCGTTTTGTAACTGAAATCAATATATTTAAAAATGTAGAAAACATCCAAAAATATTTAAATAAATGGTATTCGATTATTGTTTAACAGCGTGATTAATCACGCGATTAATCACAATTCATTTTTTTAATCGCACAATTAATTGTGATTAATTTTTAAAATAATTTGACAGCCCTAATTCATAATCATTGTGAGATGTATGTATAGATAATATTTAAGGAATAATATATTTATATGGAAAATATCCTTTAACGGACTTGGAGTAAAAATTAGGCACCAGGGGATAATGTGTCTCAGTGATGGCCCATTCAGGCAGGATAGAGTTGTCACCCAGCCCTGTTTAGCTGGTGATGCAATGCAAGGCACAATTGTTTAGCCTTCCTCAATCCCAAGTCTTTCATTAGAAACCCTTCAGAGGCAATAGCAAACAAATGAAACTTCTTGAAGATAAAAAAGAAACTTCACAAGACATGGGTATGCTCTGTCTCTGAACAGAAACATAAGACTGTTTTTAGTATAGCACAGAGAAGGGAGAGGTATTTTGAATCCTTTCACTGCGGGTGACATCTTGAGGTGCAAGGTGTTTTCATGAAAAATTGGATCCTGATTCCTGTGCAGCTAGCAAGCCAGCTTGCTCTGCAACAGACTGAACTTGGGTGGGGGAGGAGGGAGAGGAGAAGAGACATACTTTATTATATAGGAAAAGTAACTATTGATAAGTGTAGACCCAGGTTTGCATTTTATCATTTTATTTTGTGTTTAACCACGTTTCCACCACTCTCTCACTTTTAATCAAATCTTTATTCTTTCTTAAATAAACCTACTTTTGTTTTATTATAAATGCTTAAAAGTGCTGTGTGGTTTATAGGAGCGATTGCTTACAGTAAAACTAGCAGATTGGGATACACTGCTCCTTTGGGGGCAGAGGAGCTGGAATTTCTGTGAGTAGCCAGTGGCAGAGGCTGGATATCACAGGAGAATGATTCAAAGGGACTTGGGGACTGGGGTGCACCTATTGTTAACCTGCAAGGTGAAGACAGGGTTGGCAAAGTCCAAAGCAGAGTGCATGAGTGGCTGAAAGGCTGGTGGTATCAGGAAGCTGACACCAAGCCAGTCACTGGTAAGGACAGTTAAGACTCCCTCAAGTTAGAGGCTGGGTTAACAAGGTGACTTATAGTCCTGGGTACCCTCAAAACCACCACAGTTCCCCTGTAGTGTTAGCATCTTAATCACTGTGTCCTGGCTGAAAGGCAAGAGAGACAATGGGTGGTGTGGATGAATTAGCTCAGGACTAGCAGTCAGTTGTTTCTGAAACCTTTGCCCTACTCTGCTATTGGTAAGGATTGGTTCCTATTCCCATTGGGCACTTGTCACTGACTTCAATGAAACCAGGATAAAGCCCAAAGTGTGTGTATCTCCTTCTCAATGGGTCTCATGAGAATTAACTAATTAGCATTTGCACAGTGCATTGGAGATGTAAGTCATTATGTCATTGTTAAGTATTATAATTTAGTAGCTTTGTATGAAAACCAGAAATGAAAGTGACTGGAAACAAAATTACAAAGTCGTTTTATTTTTGGCCATGCTGAGGGAAATGCAATAAGTAAACAAACAACATAAATAGCAGAAAGTAAGCCAAGTTTTAACAAATATTTCAGCTGTATTGTGATATGAGGCTAGCAGTAACACAGGTAAGGACTCGAAAAACAATTAAGGTAATTTTAAATTTGACAATGTCTCTTTAGAATGCAAACCAACATCTCCTATAATTACAGTTAACAAGTAATGGTTAATTGTCTTTCCCGGGAATCATTAGAATTTCTAGAAAACAGGAATAGGGATTGAGTCATCCTCTTTTCGCAATCACAGGAAATCAGTTGTGTATAATATGCTCATCTGATTCCAACAGATTAATTTGTTTTCCTCTGTTTCATTTATTCCCAACATGTCTGTGATTCACAAAGAAGAGTAATTCAAAAAGATTAGAGTCCAACTCTAGCAGTACCTGTAAAATCCATAAGAAACAGATCCTTCT